TGGGAGGGTTCCCCCTTTGCCCGGGCGCCCCAAGCGGATTTGGGGGGTCCCAGAAACCCAGCTGGTCGCCGCGCCTTCGGGGTTCTGGGGCCCCACGGGTTGGGGGCAGTCACCAGGCCGCCTTCAAGGGCTTCCAGCGGCTTTGGCCGGGTCGGCCGCCCCCGCGCCGTCAGAGAGCCAGGCGGGAGCATCGCTCACCGATGGGTACGAGACAAAGCCAAAGTAGAGCTCGGCCGCTCCGTCCAGCTGCCAGACCGAAGCGGGCCAGCCGCCCTCCTTCTTGAAGCAGTACGCGACGCCGGGTGGCGTGCCGGCAAACTGGCGGCGCAGCAGCGCCTCCATGCCGGGCCTGAAGGCAGTGAGGGGTGGGGTGATCCGAGAAGGAGGCGGGAGTACACTAAGTACTACCACTAGACGGGAACTAAACGTCCGATCTCAGTCGCTCCGCGGGCCTGCGAAAGACGACCGTCAGCGACGCTCCTAGCCCGCCCTGGCCGCACAGGTCGGCGCCCGGCACGCGTCTGCGCACCGACGACCTTCCGCCGTCGCAGCCGACGAGGACGCGCGCAAGCACCGTTTGGCGCACGCGGCCACCAGCCTTTGGCGCGGCTGTGTCGTCCGTCGCGAGGCCGTCCAGGCCGCCCTCCGCGTAGTGTCGACCGCCTCGCTCCGTTTGCTCGAGCACGACCGACCACTCGCCGTCCGTCTCGGTGGCGTCCACGACGTTCCAGCCGTAATGCGCCGTCAGCTCGCACTCGCGCGGCGCCGAGGCGACGTGGCTCCTCAGAGCCGCCTCGTAGAGCGGCTGCTGCTGTGCTGCACCCACCCGTGCGACTCCTTGGACAGCCCCTCGGACAGCGCCTGCAGGCCGACGGCGGTACTCCGTGGGGCTTGCTTATCCGAGCCCCTCTCTTTCTTATCACACACTCACGTAAACGCACACTCACATAAACGCACAACTCCGGACCCAAGACGCACAAGCACAGACAGTCGAGAAGGGGGAGACCAGATCCATAGTCGTTTCCGGGCGCAGCCAACACAAGCCTCGAATCTTCCGAGGCAGTGCGGCGTCCCAACGCGACCACGTCTCCATGGTGAGGGCAGAGATGAGCTGCGCCTTTGGCAGCCGCGAGCCGCCGCAAGGCTCCTCGTTCGCCTCCACCAGCGCAACACGCCCGCGCTGAGCGAGGAGCTGCCCCGCCAAAGTCAGCCCGACTGGCCCGCCGCCGACGACCAAGACATCCACCGTCTCGGGCAGGCCGAAGGCGATGCTCGACAGCGAGCTTGAGAGCATGCCTGAGGGTGCCGCCGGCGGCGCCGGCCAGTCGCCAAGGCGATAGAGGACGGGCAAGCGCGCCTTTAGGAGAAGGAAGCGCTGGAAGTTCGCGAAAAATGGTAAAAAATATAGCGCAAACGGCGTCTCTTGCCTGCGATACCTGGCGAAAAAAGTGATCCCTTGTGAAACCGACAGACAGCAAACAATACTCATCACGAGCCACCAGCACCAAGACATATCCAATCCACCCAGTTCCAGAGTCCAACAAACTCAAACATCGCCGCTGCATTGGGCGCGCGGCGCCCACTGGCGCCGCGTGGCCAGACGCGGGGGCGCCGCCTCAGAGTTCAACTGCCCCCGGTGGGGGCCGCAGGGTCGTCTCGTGCCGCGGCGAACATGACACGGGGCGGGCTCGGGGGGGGGGGAGGCGCTTCCCCCCGCCAACCGGCCTCTGGGAGTCAGTGCTCACGCGCCGAGGGGGCCGGCGGGCACGCGCGGGCGCGGCGCATGCCCGGTTCCCCTCCCTTCTCCCACAGAAGTTTGCGGCGCATGCCTGACAGGGGGGTG